CGTCTAGGATTCGAATTGCGTAATAAAATGCTCTGTCCAATTATCTTAAAATGTAAGTTTTCTCGTTAATATTTTGATTACTTATTAAATTATTTTGCCTTTAATCTATTTTGGATGTCCCTGTATATTTTTGACCTTTTTTGTCGACATAACTTTTTTGTTTCTTGAACGATTTTATTTTGGTCTGTTATGGCAATTCATGCTATAGATATGAAGCTCACGGTTCTTCAAGAAAATTTCCTACAGGGTGATATGTTAAACGGTGAAAAATTTCATTAACTTCATTCAAGCCCCGTTTGTAAAAAATATTTTTTTTGTTTTTACTTTGAAATAATGAAGTATTCAGTTCGGCTTTGACACTCGAAGTGGATAGACGCGTCAAGTAGTTAAAGATTCCTCTCCTAGCAGCGTATACTAGAGAAACGTAATAAAGTTCCAAAAACGAACCTAAGTATTCGGAAATATCGGTAATCGGTAATAAATAATAAATAAATAAATAAACAATCAAGTGCGGAAAGTGTGATAAGTGCAAAAAAAAAGTGCAAGTGTGAAAAGTGCGGGAGATCCCCTGATAAAGCCGTAAAAGAGTGCAACTGAATAAGTAATTAAGGCCAACCGGTCCAACTGGTCAGCAGGGATAGTCACAACCAAAGCCTGTCAATAACCTGCAGGGAGGTCCAGAAATAACGGACAGACCGTGAAAGACCTAGCATCAGGATTATAGCCTAATAATCAAGCTAAGTAATTTTTCTAACTGCATGTCTTATTAACAAAACCATTTTATTCCAAAAAATCTAAAGTAAAACGTATTATATACCGAAAAGTAAATTTCAAGCCCCAGCAAATAAACATTCCTATTGAGACAGACAACACACAAATCATTACATAAACATAACAGAAAAGGCAGATAAGACATTAGCTCCATACCTCAAATAAACACTCGACTAATACCATAAATAAACGCCAAACCATAAATAATAAATAAACACAAACCATAACAAACATGGAAATAGTAAACACGATTGAACATTTGGTGGGAATAATTAAAATTCCATCCGACGGAAATTGCTTAGTGGCCAGCTTGGCTCATCAACTAGATAATAGCCTGACTGGGTCAACAAGTACATACGCATTAAGACAAAGACTAAATAACCACTTACGAACACACATTAAGACATACAGCCCATACTTACAGGATGCGATCCTTGACCAACCCCACCGCTACGCGCATAATAACGACTGGGAACGTAAAACAGAGGCGTACCTAAAGGACCACGCACAAAACGGCTTCTGGCTGGGTTTGGAAACAATAGCAGCATCGGACATATTTAACGTCGCAATCGAAATAAATCACGAACAGGGGCGTACTGACAAGATATCGCCCAGAGTCCTCCTAAAAGGAAAAACAATCACCAAACGTGTCAGGGTGGCACAACTAAAATACTGAGATAGGAGTAAGCAAATAACTAACATACCCACCCCCCATTCACGAATACCAATTGAATGGGGGTACTACTAAGGCCTAGGTTCAGGAGGATTCCGGATTGTACTTAGTTTTGGGTCAGTTCAATGTCCTCCAAAAACCCTTCCTAAACTGGACGTATGGCCCGACCCGGCTGACAAAAATCCCGGGAGCGGCCTTAACCTTTGACACTGTCATCCACGAACTCCTAGGGTGGATCTACCAGCCGGCGTAAAAACTTCGGATCCAACAAACACAGGTAATGCTGTGATTTGGCGGGATACGCAGGAGAACGGAAAGGGGGTAAAATAACCCCGGGAGATCAGTGGATGATAATATATCTGGGGCCTGCCATACGTTCCCATACTCATACTCATACTCATACTTTGAAATAATGAAGTATTATGTCTTACCTTGAAACATGTTTTTAATTTTTTTTCATAAGAGTACTAAATGTTTTTTGAAGGCAATACAGTCAGTTTTTTAGGAATAAGAAGATGAGATGGTGGAAGATTGTTTCTTAAATAACTCTGAACAAGCGACAAGCAACAAACATTTTTTCAGAGGGACCTGAGTAAAGAACACTTTTTCAAAATAACATTTTGGTAAAAATTTGCGAAACCTAAACCTAAACTGATATTTACGTTCGTGACATGTTTTCTTCATAATTTTGACCTCCTGATTGTGATTCAGTTGTCAAATTTAAGTTTCAGATAAAACCAAAATCCCCAAGAATCAAGATTCGAAAACAATTCCCTGCTGTTTAATGTCTCAATATTTTGATTACTTATTAAATTATTTTGCCTTAAATCCATTTTGGATGTAACGAGTCCCTGTATATTTTTGACCTTTTTTGTCAAAAATATATAGGGACTTTATAAAACTTTGCAAAGTCATCGGTATCAAATAGAAAATATTTATATTTTGAATTTTTTGTTCCATTCTAGCAGTAGTAGTATTATATCCCTCAAAGAAAATATAAATAATAGACCAAAGGAATGGCATTTTAAATATTAATACTAAAATTCTATCGTATCTTTTTGTAAAAAGAATTATTTTTTGAAATTTTTGTATCGTTTTTTAAGTACTAAATTGAAAAGGCACCAAAGTAAACGGATTTCGGTATAAACATTTCTCTTCCACAATTATTTAAAAAAAAATTATTTACATTACGCCTAAAGTAACTAAAAATTCAATCTCCAATCTTAAATTTATTAAATCTATATAATTACTTATAATAGTCTATTAGGTATATCATATTAGGTCGACAATTGGCGCCTATTCATTGAAGAAATGCTCTCCGCTTTTCAAAGAATTGCCCAAATTTCTTAGAGTTAAATTAACAAACCACCAAATTTAAGTTAAAAGTCCACAAAATGTCCTGCTCAATCGATTTGTTGAGAAAATTCCACGAGTAAATAAATTAATTTTTCTACTCCTATTACGGAATTTGACCGTTCTAATATCACTTTTATCTATGGAATGACATATATTCCGAAAAGTGTTACAGAATGAAATATTCTATCATCGGATGACAGAATAAACACTCGTGGCGACATCTCTGTTTTTAATATCCAACAAATTTTAGACCGATCCAACCTCACTTTCTTCCAATTAAATTATTTTTCTATGGTATTTTTTGGAAACGTAGAAAAAGTATAGTCTGAAACATATTTGGAATTGCATATTCCGCTCTCGTAAAACCGTCAAACTTCCCTTCGGCTCGTGTGACAAACTCTTCACTTGAGCGGAAGATGCTTTATTCCAAACTTGTTACAGAATATACTATTTTTCCATACAATAATACATCCGTTACTATAGAAAAGGTAAATACAAAAATATTCGCCAAGTTTGGCATTTCTATTCCTTCCTTTTTATCCGTCAGCAAACCGTACTTTTGACAGTTTTTAATAGGTCTAAATTGACAGGATTTCAATTATCATAATTTTCATACCGAAACTTAATTAAAATAAAATGTCAAATAATGGTTATTTTTAACATAAAATACATTATAATTTTAGTTTTTGTATTTAAAATGCCATACCGCTAAGTAAAATATCTATTTGACGTATACCGATTACTCCAGTACAATCAAGATAAATGAGGAGTGATTTTTCAAAAGGTCGTATTTCCATTTGCAACAATTTTTCAAAAAAATGACTATAACCTGTATAGGTTAGGGCAATATAGATTATTTAAAAAAAAATTCTGATGAATATTTAATAATACTTCAGACCCGCTGTCATATTTCGCCGTTAATATATGCCTTTTAACCATACCTTTGGGATTTTGTCAAAAAATTACATTCAAGTAAAAATGGAAATATGGCCTTTTGAAAAATCACTCCTCAAATATATGGCAAAATAATTAAATAAACAACTAAAATATTAATAAAAAACCTACATTTTGAAGTGATTGAGCAGAGCATTTTATTACGCAATTATTTTAAATCCCAGCCGTCTTAGAGCAAAACGAGTGACATTTTTAAAATCAAGGGCTCAAAATTAGTTAAACCAGACCGGAGTAATCAATGTTAGAAAAAATAAGTTTATAAAACTATCATAGTGTTATTAATATATAATCAGTGATTATTAATCACTTATATAATCACTGATTATTAATCAGTTCGAAAATAATATTTTAATTTTAGACGTTATGCAAAATTAATTATCAATTATAATTGATAGTAATTGTTCGACTAGTGGGAGAAAGAAGGGAATCTTCGAGCCTGAAGTTAATTAATTTTGACCATTTTTTTGCTTTTTTACCTTGGTATTTAAAAAATTGTATGTCATTTGTTCCGTGATATCTTGTTTAATGTTTAAAATTGGCAAAACCCTTTAATTTAAAATTAAAATAAAATAAAATGTTCATAAAAATCTATATAATAGCTGTAAATTATGTATGTTATGGCCTTAATTAATTTATTCTTTGGGAACCGCTCACTCTGAATGTTAATAGATTAATTTTTTTTAATTGGAAAACGTAGTTTTGCCGTTTAAGCAATTAATTATTGCAGCAAATTAATTAAGATATTAAAGAAATTACCTTTTGTAACACAAATTTAATCTAGGTAATTTAAATTATAAAGTTTAAAGTAAAATCGGAAATAAGAAAATATTTGTTTTTATTAGCCGTCATTTGTTAATTTTAAAACTATCATTTTAAAGTGAAAACATAGCCTAGTATTCTTATTTAACGGCTTATAATTAGAAGAGGACATGATTTAAAAATAAATTCTTATATAACAAAAAATACCATAAACAACACTGGTTTACAGACGGAATTGCAAGTATTTATGCTATTACCTTTTATATCGCCAGTATAAATTTACAGTGTCATTGGATTCACTAGAAATTCTGATGAGTTAGACACAGTTCTTACATACATTTTATATAAGAGCAATAATCATAAAAGATTTGTCTTTGTATTTTTTTAATACTTAACCTCACTTCATAGATGAATTAAATGTCAAGTCAATTAAACTTCAATTATCCATTACATATCATGTCATAAGCATTAAATTTTAAGTATTTACTTATCATTCAATTTTTTCCATAATGGCTGTGTTTACTACACGAACTCTAACTCTCCAAAGGCTATCGAAATTATTTGAAAAAAGGTTCATATCAGTGTCCAAAACACTTTCCAAAGATATGACTGTAAGAGATGCTATCAATGGCGCAATAGACGAAGAAATAGAAAGAGACGACCGCGTCTTTCTTATAGGAGAAGAAGTGGCACAATACGACGGTGCATACAAAGTGTCCAGAGGTTTATGGAAAAAACATGGCGACAGAAGAGTAGTAGACACTCCCATAACCGAAATGGGCTTTGCAGGCCTAGCCATTGGTGCTGCTATGGCTGGTCTAAGACCAATTTGCGAATTTATGACATTTAATTTTTCAATGCAAGCAATAGATCAAGTAATTAATTCAGCTGGAAAAACACTCTACATGTCTGCCGGTATGGTGAATGTCCCTATAGTATTTAGAGGACCAAATGGGTGTTCTTCCGGGGTGGCAGCTCAACATTCACAGTGCTATGGTGCTTGGTATTCACATTGTCCTGGGTTAAAGGTGGTCGCACCTTATAGCTGTGAGGATTGTAGAGGACTTCTAAAATCGGCTATACGTGATCCAGACCCTGTTGTTTGCTTGGAAAATGAAATAATATATAATAGTACATTTTCGGTGTCAGATACAGCTTTATCCAAAAATTTCCTTATACCTTTTGGTAAAGCGAAAATTGAAATTCCTGGAAAACACTGTACACTAACTTCATATGGTAGGGCTATGGAAGCAACTTTATTGGGAGCACATGAACTTAAAAAGCAAGGTATAGAATGCGAAGTAATAAACCTGAGATCCTTAAGACCTTTGGACATAGAAACAATACATAAATCAGTATCAAAAACTCACCATTTAGTATCAGTGGAACAGGGATGGCCCCAATGCGGTATTGGTGCTGAAATTTTGGCCTGCATAATGGAAAGTGAAGTTTTTTACCAATTAGATCAACCAGCACAAAGGCTCACAGGTGTAGACGTACCGATACCTTATGCAATTGAGTTGGAAAAGATCTCAATACCACAACCAAAAGATGTCGTGGAAATGGTGAAGAAATTATTAAAGAAATAACTTAATTAGTTTTGAATTAATAACGTTTAATTAGTAAAATGCCGTTTAAATACAAATAATTTCAAAGCCTTAGTATTTTTTTATTACATATTGTTAACAGACTCCTTAATTTACAAAGTATATATATATATTAGGGTGTTCCTTATTTATAAGTAATAAACAAAAAATACAAATTTTTTTGGTCTCACCCCCTAAATAGTTTATATTTGGTGTAAGTATAACACACAAAAATTTTGAGCTCCCTAAATTAATATTAACCCGTGCCGACAGGGGCTTAAAATTTTAAAAAAATACGTATTTTTAAAATAAAATCATATTAGTGGATTTTTTTTAAATTAGGTATATTATTTTTGATTAGCAGCCCAAAAGGGTTTGTTTTTTGGTAAACAAATATAAAAAAAAATTTTTAACGCCTTTGATTGATACTTAGCCATGTCACAAGGTCCTACAGGAGAGTTAAATATGATCCCAGGCTAAACAGTGTATTACCTAGTTCACTTGATTACAGTCGGTAATTTACAGAGTTTAAAATAAATTCTCTGTTACAACTGCACACCAAACTCTATTTAATATCGCTATGCCATGGCGTAGGCAGCCCATAATACATAGCATTTTAACAAAATCTCAGTTTCCAATGAAATAGAGATTTATAATTAATGGTATAAAAATTGTACAGGTACACAAGGGGAAATAATGGTATAAATAGCATTAAAATGGTACGTCTGGCAACGCTGACAAGAACAGACAGTTAAATAAACTGATGCGCTGCGCATATGCGCAAAGGACAAGTTGCTGTCTTGCAGTCTAGTTGATTATTTTGTTGTTTTATGTGTTTTAAATATAATTTATAATAATTAGTTCGCGTTAAAAATGGCTTGGGCGCTTAGAAGTGAAGAAAGAGTTTATTTGGTTGGAACTGCGGACAGCCAGATACGTGGTTCAAAACTCCCTTCAAATAAACAAGTCCTTTCGGTGTTTTTTTACAATATGAGAAATGTAAAATTAAATGCGCGGGAAAGTGCGAGTTTAGCAGTTCGTGAAACAGCAATTTTTTGGGAAAAAGCAAGGATACCCACAAGAGCTATTCAACACTGCATCCATAAATTGCTTAATTTACACGGAGAATGGCGAAATTTACAAAAAAATTCAAATAAAACTGGAGACATTTATCGAGAAAAGGAAAATAAGTTTGTAAATAATTTAGAAAACTTGTTTGACATTGCACACTCGGACGCCTTACAAATAATAAAAATAGAAGAAGATAAGCAATTTTTGATAGCACAAAGACAACCCGGTCGAGTAGGTTGTCTTGGAGGGATTGATAAAAATTTTGAAAAGAAAGAAAAGAGATCCAAAAAACGAAAACAAGAAGAAAGTGAAAGAAAAAGGAAGTATGAACAATTTTTAATGGGACCATCTACTTCGACGGAATTTCCGACAATCGAAGATTCGGATTCGGACGAAGACGAAGCACATCGAAAACATTACTGTGAAATTAAGCCAAATGAGCCAACTACACCAATGGAATCACCTGAGCCAATTCAGCCAACTAAGGTTAGTAAAAAAAGAGGGCGTACAAGTTTTATTTCACCAAAATTGGTCGTAGCCTTAGATCGGTGCCAATTAAGTGTTCGAGATGCAGTTTATATATTACAAGCGACAGCAGAAGCTTTAGGACATAACTTGGATGATTTAGTAATAAATAGCACTTCCATTTATCAATGCCGTAAAAATTTACGTGCTCAGCGTGCTGAATCAATTAAAACCAGATTCGAAGGATCGCCACCTAGCTATATTACTGTACATTGGGACGGAAAGCTTTTGCCAAGATTAAGTATTAATGAATCATCTGTTGGGCGACTACCGATTGTCGTGACTAGTAAAAATGTAGAACAACTTCTTAAAGTACCGAAACTTGAAAGTTCAAGCGGACAAGATCAGGCATCAGCTGTTTATAATGCATTACAGGAATGGGGATTATCGGATACAGTTCAGGCATTGTGTTGTGATACTACAGCCTCAAACACTGGGAGAATTTCTGGAGCGTGTGTTTTGTTAGAGCAGAAGCTGGGAAAAGATCTTCTTTACCTTCTTTGTCGTCACCACATTTATGAATTGGTTTTGAGAGGCGTTTTTGAAGCTAAAATACCCCATGTAACTTCAAGTCCAGACATTCCGTTGTTTAAAAATTTTAAGAAAAACTGGTGCAGCCTAGATCATAGATCATTTAAAAACGGAATGGAAAATCCTGAATGTTGTGCTGGTTTAGAGGATGTAAGAACGGAAGTTCTTAACTTTTCACTGAGCAAACTAAAAGAAACGCAATTCCGACATGATTATCGAGAGCTGCTTGAACTAGTCGTCCTTTTTCTTAATGGCGATGAACAAAATAATTTAAAAATTCGTCCTCCTGGAGCCATGCATCAAGCTAGGTGGATGGCTCGGGCCATTTATTGTTTAAAAATTTTTATGTTTCGTAATGAGTATCAAATTTCTAGTATGGAAGAAACTGCTCTTGGAGATATCTGCGTTTTTATAATTCGATTTTACGTAAAAGCGTGGTTTGATTGTCCAATGGCAAGTAAAGCTCCACATCAAGATCTTAATTTCATAAGGAATTTGAAAATTTATGAAGACAAAGATCCAATAATTTCCGAAGCAGCCCTTAAAAAAATGTGTGGCCACTTATGGTATTTAACGGAAGAGACGGCCACCTTAGCATTTTTTGATAATGATTTATCAATCGAAACAAAAAACGTAAAGCTCTAGAAAATGAGGGAACTTCTATTCCAACTAAACGACTGATAATTAAACTAAAAGAAATCGATGATAACTTTATAGGTATAATTTTACTATAATTATTAGCTCCGTAAAAATTAATACAAGTTTGTTTTCAGCCAGAACAATTGACAACTTTCTTTCTGAAAAAAGCAAAAATCTATTTTCTAGATTCAATATCGACCCAGAATTTCTAAATCATGATCCCTCAACATGGGAATCGCAAGTGTCGTATTTAAATGGGCGCGAAATTATAAATGGGTTAAAAGTCGTCAACGACACTGCTGAAAGGTCCGTAAAATTAATGGAGGATTTTCATGGTACCCTGACAAAGGACGAGAAACAAAAACAATATATTTTGCAATGTGTGCAAGAGCACAGAAGAGTGTATCCCAATTGCAAAAAAGATACATTAAAACAAACATATTAATAATTTATTAATTATAATTTTACTTTATTTTAAGACTCCTCTAAGGGGAGTTGGTATTTGTTATAAGGGTTAAAATAATTCTTACCATATTATAATAATATATAACAGTTATTTGTACAAAATAAATTAAACACGAATAAAAAAAAGATTTTAGTGTCTTTATTTTAAAATACGTTTTTTATCAAACTTAAGGCCCTCGTCGGCACGGGAAAAAAATTTTTTAGCGGGCTAAAATTTTTACCATGTTAGTTTTATACCAAAAGTAAACTTTTTAGGGGGTGAGACCAAAAAAAATTAAAAGACCCAAAATAAGGAACACCCTAATATATATATAAAGAACGGCGACCAAATAGTTATAGATAATCCCATAACCGAAATGGGCTTCACAGGTCTAGCCGTTCGACAATGGCCGACCTAAGACAATTTCTGCGAGTTTATGACATTCAATTTCTCAGTGAAAGCAATTAAAATTATAAGTTGATCTATTATAGACCGGGGCGAAATGGGGACTCTAATGTTTAAAATTAACATAAATGCTTAACAATTTTTTTATTATCGTATTAAAAAAGTGTCCTTTACTCCATTCCGCCCCGCTAATGGGGTTATCGGGCTTACACAATTCACAGAGAAGTTCTGCATCGTCGTCATCACTCTCTACCCCCCACACGATTTGTGAGCCCACTTTTGGCACTGTGTGCATAAAATCCAACCCTCAAATGAAGCTGAAAATGGGTATATACAATATATACAAGGTGTCCCTAAACTTAGTGCCATGGCATAATTTTAGGAGCAGATTAAGCAAGTCAAAATAAGACGAAAATCTAAATAAATATTTTTCCTAATTACGTATGTTTAAAAGATACAGGGCGATAAAGTGTTACTTATCATATCAGTTTGTTTAATATAACTTCTACTATGGTAGACTTAAAAAGGTGATATTTTGCGAACAGTCACTTACTATAGGTATACCAAGCAAAACATATTCACACATAATTACAATTGTTCGAGTGAACACAGTGTCGTAGAAACAGGGGTTGCTTAAGCTTATTGTTCCATACAAACTTTGAGGTTAGGTTTTTATACCATTTGATGCAATTTTTTTATTACTCCGTTCGACAACTATTAAAAAGGTGTACCTCAAACTTCGATAAAATAAACCATTTCCGAGATATTCGAGATTACAATAATGTTAAAAACCTTGGTTGATAGTGAAAACCCATTACAAGAAAAGGGAAAATGATGAAGAAGCCACCTTGACTGTCGACGCCAATCATTACCGGGCCATGTTGACAGACTTTTACATGCAAGAATTGGACGGAATAGACTTAAATGAGATGTGGTTTCAACAGGATGGCGCCACCTGTCTTACCTCATGCGAAACAATGACGTTGTTGCAAACCAAGAAGAAGACCAAGAAGTTGCGATTTAACTTGTTTGGATTATTTTCTCTGAAGTTTTTTGGAAAGTAAATTCTATGCGAACCTCCCTGAGACAACAGAGGAACTGCAAAATATAATGGTGGCCATTTAACCGATATTTTGTTTCATGCGTAAATGTCATTCCTACCTCAGTACATATCAAGAAAAAACTTAAACAAAACATTAAATTAATATATTTTTTTTTAAAATTTAAGAGACGTACACCTTTTAGGTTGACGTGAAGTGAAATGACATAATTAAATAAAACGTCAACACATTTTGTTGTCTATTTTGATACTCAAACATAGCTTACAATTTACTATTTATGATATTATTTACATTTTATAATAATAAAGCCTACAATTTTAATAAACCAACTCAGATACACGTGTTTTAATAGTTCTCTTCTAAATAA